ATGGAATGTGTCCAGAGGAGGGTGACTCAAAGGATCAAGGGTCTGGAGAACAAGCCCTATGAAGAGCGGCTCAAAGAGCTGAGCATGTTTAGCCTGAAGAAGAGAAGGCTGAGAGGAAACATGATGAGGGCCATGGATCAAGAAGTGAGGGGAAGTCATAGGCAGGAAGAAGCAGGTTTATTTCTGCTGCTGTGGAGACTAGGATGTGGAACAGTGGCTTCAAACTACAAGAAAAGAGATTCCACCTGCTGTGTACTAATCTTGTTGTGTTTCAAATAATAATAATACCATTGTATGTATTTATATCCCGCTGTTTCTCTCCCAAAGGAGGCTCAAAGCAGCTAACACTAAAAACCATAACAATGTGTAAATTAAAACCTAAAGCATATAAACATCAAAACAGAATTAAATATAGGACTAATATATATATATATATATATATATATATATATATATATATAAAACCAACAAAATAATTAAAGGTGGGTCTGCGGATGTATAGAGACTCCTTGTGTGATGTGAATGTTTCCAATTGTGTCGACAGACTATTGAAAATAATATATTTATTGGGTTGCTGTGGAACCCCCAGTGGCACATTGGGTTAAACCCCTGTGCCGGCAGGACTGAAGACTGACAGGTTGCAGGTTCGAATCCAGGGAGAGGAGGATGAGCTCCCTCTGTCAGCTCCAGCTCCTCATGTGGGAACATGAGAGAAGCCTCCCGCAAGGATGATAAAAACATCAAATCATCCAGGCGTCCCGTGGGCAACGTCCTTGGAGACGGCCAATTCTCTCACACCAGTAGTGACTTGCTCCTGACATGACAAAAAAAAATTGGGTTGCTGTGAGTTTTCCGGGCTGTATGGCCATGTTCCAGAATCATTCTCACCTGATGTTTTGCCCACATCTATGGCAGGCATCCTTAGAGGTTGAGGGGTCTGTTGGAACCTCCCAACAGCTCCCCAGGCAGGAAGCAGTCAGGTTTTGAAGCTGCAAGGCCATTCAGTTCTAATCAACGTGGTCAATTGCAGCATTCACACTGGCCTCAAACAGGCAAGAGTTCTGTCTCCAACCCTGGTCAATACACACATATATAAACCCCACTTGCCTAGTTTCCAATAGACCTCACAACCTTTGAGAATGCCTGCCATAGCTGTGGGTGAAATGTCAGGAGAGAATGCTTCCGGAACATGGCCATACAGCCCGGAAAACTCACAGCAACCCAGTGATTCTGGCCATGAAAGCCTTCGACAACACATTATATTCATTTTATCTATTCTTTCTTTCTTCCTCCACATTATTCATTATTTGGGTTTCATCGGAGGTCCTGTGCGCAGCTCATATTTCAGGAAAGAAAAACCCGCAGCTCTAGAGGTAGAACGAAGGTCAACAGGGTGGAAAACGAAGTCCTGGGAAGTGTGTCTGAAGCTGTACAAATGTTTGAACAGGGAAGATAAAGTTTGTGTGTGTCTTTCTAGATAGATCCTTCTGAATATCAGCCAGCCCTGACACACAGAGGAGGGCAAACCAATGTCTCATTCTTCTCCCTAAGAGGTCAAGATGAGATCTAATGGGATTAATTTATAATAGGAGATTAAGTTATGGCAATGAAGGTTATGGGAGGAGGAGGAGGAACTGAACTGTCTATTTTTAGAAATCCCAAATCCATCCCGTAGGGATACCTTTATCAGGGCAGCCAAAAGGCACTAAATAGGTTGGCTTTTGGAGAGATCATAAAATAGAAGGCAGCGGGGAAAGTCATGATGTTACGGTCACAATGTCTGTCTTTCGCAGTGAGATATTTTTGGAAATGTGTGGAGATATGAAAGGAGAATTTGCTTTGGTTGTATGTGGAGTGGGAAGAAAGGCAAGGCAGGGCTGCGTGTCTCTTATCCCAAAATAAAAAAAAATACTCGAAAATCCAAAATAGTCCATGTGGGTAGCTGGGAGAGTGGTGCCTTTGCGCTCCGATGGTTCAGTGTACACAAACTTTGTTTAATGCACAACAAAACATATTAGTATGAAACTAATATAATAATAATAACAATAATAATAATAATAATAATAACTTTATTTGTACCCCGCTACCATCTCCCCAAGGAACTCGGTGTGGCTTACATGAGGCCAGGCCCAGAATACAACAATAAACAATAACAACAATAATACAAAACAATAAATAAACTCATAAGCAAAAAACAAGCAATAAACTTTAACAATAACACAACATGTTTAAAAACCTACCTTCAGGTATGGTATACAGGGAATGTACAGGAAAGGAGATTACACCTGAACATTAGGAAGAATTTCCTGACTGTGAGAGCTGTTCAGCAGTGGAACTCTCTGCCTCGGACTGTGGTGGAGGCTCCTTCTTTGGAGGCTTTTAAACAGAGGCTGGATGGCCATTCAAAGCACTGTCGAGGGTGCTTTGAATGCTATTTTCCTGCTTCTTGGCAGAATGGGGCTGGATTGGGTGCCCACCCGGTCTCTTGCAACTCAATGATTCTATAACTGAATGTTGTGTTTATATTCTGAAAGGGATCTGACTGTGAGAGCCGTTCAGCAGTGGAACTCTCTGCCCCAGAGTGTGGTGGAGGCTCCTTCTTTGGAAGCTTTTAAACAGAGGCTGGATGGCCATCTGTTGGGGGTGCTTTGAATGCAATTTTCCTGCTTCTTGGCAGAATGGGGTTGAACTAGGTGGCCCATGAGGCCTCTTCCAACTCTATGATTCTATGAGGTAGCCAGTGACTTCCCTAACAATAAAGGCTGGGGAACAGGCTTGGTCTGATTGGCGCTCTATGTCCAGGATCCATTGCTTAATGAGATCTTTGGCTTGGTCCCGTCTCATGCTTGGCAATTGTCCTTGGGAGAAACCTAGAATTGTGATCTTTGCTGCCACCGATTTAATCCATGTAGACTGGAAGTCATCCCTCATGGTTAGTAGGGCAAGGCCACGTGGGGAGGATAGGTGTAGCCAATAGTTGAGAATAGCTGTCCATATTCTCGCTTCCACTTTTAAATATTTGAAAGAATGTCACATTGAGGAGTACGCAAGATTGTTTTTTGCTGCTCCAGAGACACAATCGAGCAATGGATTCAAATTGCTCCACCTAAACATTGGGAAGGACTTCCTGAGGGTAAGAGCTGTTCAACAGTAAAATATGCTGCCTGGGAGTCTAATGGAATCTCCATCTCTGGAGGTTTTAAGCAGAGCATGGATGGCTATGTATTAGGAGTGCTTTCATTGTGGTTTCCTGCATGGCAGGGGATGGGACTAGATTACCCTTGTGGTCTCTTTCAACTCTCTGAACCTACTAGGACTTTAAGATCATCTGGGAGTCCCTGTTCCCGATTCCGCCTTCGTCACAAATACGTTTGGTGGGGATGAAAGACAGGGCCTTCTCAGTGGTGGTCCCTCGGCTATGGAACGCCCTTCCTAGGGATATTAGATTGGCCCCCTCCAATTCTGGAAGGGGGGGAAAGAGTCAAGACCTGGCTGTTCGAGCAAGCATTTGAAAATGCAATGTAAAAGACATAGGAATTTGGAACAACTGGATGACGAGATGGATAATGTTTTTAATTAGGAGACAGGAGCCCCCGGTGGCACAGTGGGTTAAAATCCTGTGCTGGCAGGACTGAAGACCGACAGGTCGCAGGTGCGAATCCAGGGAGAGGCGGATGAGCTCCCTCTGTCAGCTCCAGCTCCTCATGCGGGGACATGAGAGAAGCCTCCCACAAGGATGATAAAAACATCAAATCATCTGGGCGACCCCTGGGCAACGTCCTTGCAGATGGCCAATTCTCTCACACCAGAAGTGACTTGCAGTTTCTCACAAAAAAAGGAGATGCAAATGGCTTATGTTTTTATTACTTTTGTTTGGTTTTATACTATGTATGAATGTTTTAAATGTTTTATGATGTTCTTGGGCATCGAATAGTTGCCTCTGTAAACCACCCTGAGTCGCTTGAAGGCTAAGAAGGGTGGTATGCAAACATAGCAAATAAATAAATAAATATGATTCTATGAACTACCCAAGTTCACACTCTTCTCACCAACTGGAATATCCTGTTAGGAGTTGGAGTTAGGAGTTGATTTTGTATCTGAGAGGAGTAAAAGAGAGGAAGTGAAGAGTAAAGTGGGAGAGTGAAGTGTGAAGCAAAGAATTGTGGCTTTGGGAAGCCTGAATAGCTACTGGAGGTTTCTCAGTCTAAGGAGGCTGAAAGGAGAAACATAGCCAGTTTTCTTTAGTCAAGGGAAAGGCTAAAGGATAAGCTTGTTAATTTATTTGATCAAGGAAAGATCAAATAGGGAAGATGTTCCTGTACTGAAACATTGTTTAGTAACAAGAGCTTCACCTCAGTAAGATACTGTGTAACCTGGAAGAGTGAAATGTTTAACTAACCAAGTATTATTCAAAGTTCTATAAAATAAGTTACAACTTGCAACCACACGCTTTGTACTCAATAAACCAGTTATCTTTCGTTGAAGACAGTCTCATTTCCATCCATTCTGCGTCTGTATTGCCATATCTCACAGTAATACCTCATATCTCACGTTGGTGGCAGTTACCATAGATTTCATATAACAATTGGCCTCCACTATACCAGTTGGTGGCAGAATTCAGAGAATTAAACAATAAACCTCCTTCTACTCTCCTGTCACACGACAGCACGTGTGCTTTCTCTCCACTCTGAATCACCTCCTTGCAAAATTGTCACACCAGAAGTGACTTGCAGTTTCTCAGGTTGCTCCTCACACAAAAACAACAAAAAAGGAGATGCAATGGCTTATGTTTTTATTACTTTTGTTTGGTTTTATACTATGTATGAATGTTTTAAATGTTTTATGATGTTCTTGGGCATCGAATAGTTGCCTCTGTAAACCACCCTGAGTCGCTTGAAGGCTAAGAAGGGTGGTATACAAACATAGCAAATAAATAAATAAATATGATTCTATGAACTACCCAAGTTCACACTCTTCTCACCAACTGTCTTTTCTTGCAGATGAAGCGCTGTCAGGGATGACCCTGGGGACCCCATCCCAATGGCGTCCTCGCAGCCTCTGGAACTGACCGTCTTGGGGAATGGCCCAGGGTCCAGCCGCCGAACCCCAGAGGGGGAGACATCGTCCGCATGGACAGCTCCCAGGTTGGGCATCGAGAATGCCTCTTACCAGGGGGAGGAGGAAGAGGAAGAGACCGAAACATCCTTCCGGAGCGGTCAAGGGGCAGGAAGCAGGAGCACGGCACTGTCCAGGGGAGACCTCTCTCCACGGTCGGAGGATGCCACTTTGTCGGACTCACCCGGGACCTCCGTAGACTACGGCTTCATCTTGGCTCTCGTCTTCTTGGTCGGAGGGATTTTGCTGGTGATTGTGGCCTACAGCATCCCGCGGGAGGTGCAGGTCAACCCGGACTCGGTCTCCGCCAGGGAGATGGAGCGGCTGGAGATGTATTACGCCCGCCTGGGCTCCCATTTGGACAAGTGCATCATCGCAGGGCTGGGCCTGTTGACTTTGGGTGGGATGCTTCTCTCTGTTCTCCTGATGGTGTCCATCTATAAAGGGGAGCTCTACCGGAGAAGGACATTCCCGGCTTCCAGAGCTCCCCGAAAGACTTACGGATCGATAAACCTGAGGATGAGGCAACTTAACGGAGACGGGGGACAAAACTTGGTGGAGAACGAGGTCGTTCAGATGACGGAGGCTACCAATGTTGGCTAGAGCTGCTAATCTTTCTTCATAAATGGTGGATCTCAAAGAGTCCTTAGCTGAAAAGTCTGTAGGGTGGTGTTTTTCTCCTTCGTTTGCAGTTGGATGGTTCATTCATGTTTAAAGATAAGTTTGTATCACTGAGAGGAAGAAAATATGGGAATGTCACCTCTTCTGTGTTGGGAAGCTGTCCAAACCACATCTCAGGCCAAACTATCTTGACACTTAAATATAAAAATATTAAAAAAAACTTGGGGAAAACCAAATATGGCTTTAGATTTGATGGGGGAAGGAGGAGCTTCTTTGGGACACATCAAGTCTAGAGAAGACATGAGCTCCACTCCCCCAAAAAGAAATGTTTTCTGTGCTATGTACAGTCCTGGGACATTCCCCATATATCCCTTGGTAGCTTTTCGACTGTTGCACAACCAAATTGCCTACGCCGACGATGCAGAGCCAAAGTCCCTTCTCTGAGGTCTTGGTGGACTTTATTTCCATACTTATTTACGGGAGGCCTGGACATTGGAGCTAGGTGACTCTTTTTGTTTTGTTTTCCACAGCCAACAATGTCTTAGCAGTAGCTCCAACTGGAAGAGATGCAGAATTGAACATCAGCTTTGACCCTCAGAAAATATTGGAAGTTCCCTCGCTTGAATGAAAAGTAATGCCTCCACCTTCGTTACTTGGGTTTGGATGGGAATATTTTAATAAACCAAACACAGAAATAATCCTTAGAATGTGCTCTGTAACTACCACTATTCACTTTTTCACATAATCACCAGACAATTGGATACATTTCTGCCAACGATGAATAAGTTTTCTGAAGCCGTCATGGAAGAAGTCAACACTCTGTTTCTGCAGCCAGCATCTCACCGTTCTGTCAACATCTTAATAAGGAGCATAATGATGTCCCCACAGATCTTCTTTCATTATCAGGAACAGATGGAAGTCAGATGGTGCTAAATCTGGACTGTATAGAGGATGTCGTATGGTGGTGAGATCCAGTTTCTGAAGTTTCAAGTCTGTGCACTTTCATTTGATGCATCAGCATTCTGGGTACCCATCGTGCACAGATCTTCTGATAGCCAAACAAAGCAATAATGTGACCCACACATTCTTGTGAAATGCAGATTATGCTTGAAATTTCTCTCTGAGTGATACGACGATCGTCCTGAATCAATCTGTCAACCTTTTGCTTGTGAAACTCAGTGGTTGCTGTCACAGGATGTCCAGCTCTTTGTCACGCAAGTCAGATGTTCTCACCTCAACATCTTTAAACTTACTCACCCAAACACACAGTACTCACATCAACACAATCACCATAAACAGCTTGCATTCTCTGATGAATCTCCTTTGGGGTGACACCTTCTGCTGTCAAGAATTCAATGACTGCATTGCTTAAGTCGCATTGACCAACCGTCTGCGCAGGGTTCCACTTCACACTTTAACAACACCACCGTTCAATGCTAAGGCTTCCTGCCAAAATGGAACTGTAGAGGAGAGTCTACTGAACAAGCCAGTACCTGCTGCATACCAGTACTGCCATCTGTTGAGGAGTTACAAAGGTGGAGGCATTACTTTTCATTCAACTGTCGTACATTCCCTAGGTCTTGTTACTTTGTCCATATTCTTTGTACAGTAGAGTCTCGCTTATCCGACCTTCGCTTATCCGACATTCCGTCTTATTTGACGCCCTTTCCTCCAGCATTCCCCCTTAATTAAAGGAGTGCTCCCTAACTCTCTCTCTATTCCCAATATGTGAAAAAGGCAGGATGAGGAGGAGGAGGAGGGAGGAAAGGGGGATAAGAGGCAGGACTGAAAGCGGAAGCATCCTCCCCTCTGTGATTTCCACGGTCCTCTTCCGCATCGGGGCACTTCCTGCTGGGCCACTCTCGCCCCGGGGCATTGCCTTGCCATAGCCATTTGAGTCCCTGTTGTTAGTACTCTAGGCATCTAGCGCCCCGTTGGACGGGTAACAGTAGGAGACTCCGCATTATCCGACATTTTTGTTTATTTATTTACTATATTTATATACCGCCCCTCTCAGCCCAGAAGCGACACGGAGCGGTTCACAAATTGGCAACAATTTGATGCCACAACAATTATAACGAGTAAAAACAATCAAGAAATTATGTTAAAAACAACAGCATATGGTATAATAAATATAAAAACCATACAAAGCCTTAAAACATTATCGTGAGTGTCTCCATGTCAAATCGTTATTCCATTGCGTTATCAAGTAGTTCCATAATTCCATTTAGCTATGCCGTATTTGGGAAGGCCTGCTCAAAAAGCCAGGTTTTCACCTTTTTTCGAAAATTCAGGAGGGAGGGAGCCGATCTTATATCTCTAGGCAGGGTGTTCCCCAGTCGAGGGGCCACCGCTGAGAAGGCCCCGTCTCGTCCCCATCAAATGCATCTGCGAGGAAGGCGGGAGCAAGAGCAGGGCCTCCCCAGAATGGTATTGTTACTATGTGTTGCACACAAGAAAATCAATTTGTTCAGTCGTCTCCGACTCTTTGTGACCTCATGGACCAGCCCACGCCAGAGCTCCCTGTCGGCCGTCACCACCCCCAGCTCCTTCAAGGTCAGTCCAGTCACTTCAAGGATGCCATCCATCCATCTTGCCCTTGGTCGGCCCCTCTTCCTTTTACCTTCCACCTTCCCCAGCATAATTGTCTTCTCCAGGCTTTGCAGATATATTTTCCAACATCCTTGTTTATCCGACGTTCTGTTGGCCCGTTTATGTTGGATAAGCGAGACTCTCCTGTATTTGTAGCACATTCTGCAGACATGACACCATAATGGGATATCTCCACCCAGAGCACCCAACAGCCACCAGCAAACCTGGCTCTGTCGCCTCACCTGTTGCACCCAAACATTTCCGTCCGTCCGGTGCAAAGAAGGAGGCAGCTAGGTGTATCAAAGAGCCGTCCGATCCTTTGGTTTCTTCTTCGACGCGCAGGTTGTTCAACCCAATAAGTCACCTGCCTTTTGGATTCGAAAGCCGCAGCTGCTGTGGCAGGAAGGATAGAATTACATCTTGGATGCGGAAGTATGAAACATTAATGAAGGCCAGCATGCGGCTGACGGAAAGGGAAAATGTGTCGACAGGCAGCTTCAGAATGGAAATGACTCCGATGAAAGGTGACCTCTTGAAAGGCCCGGCTGCCAGGAAAAGCATAAAAATGGGTTCGAAAAAAACGAGAGTGCTGCAATGAGCCAAACCTTTCCTTTTGTAAGAAAACGTGCAGCCATATACGTACCAGCAGATCACTTTTTCATCACTTGCAATTTGTCTTGTCAAAGAGTCAAGGAGGGAAATATATTGAAATGCTGTGCAATTTGCTAATAAGAAGGTTGGCCCATCTTTCAGTCTTGACCTCGGATTGCCCCTCTGCTTGCCAGGGATTTCTGTAATATTTAAATTGATTATAATTGGGAAATAGAGGGATAAATATTACTGGAATGGTTGCTGCTGGCTTCTTGTTGTTGGGGTTGTGGATTTGTTTTGGATTTTAGTGGTAGCTTTACAGTTACTGTCCACAACACCGAAGCTCACCCCCATAATTGAATGGCTTCCTTAAGGTAAAAGGCAAAGGTTTTCTCCTGACGTTAGGGGCCTCATCACACTAGAGAGAAAAAATCCACTTACTCTCTGGCTTCTGCATCCTGCTGAATTCTGGGGTTTATAGTTCACTAAACTACAATCCCCAGAATCCTGCAGGAGGCAGAAACCGGATTTTAAATTGATTTTTTCTCTAGTGTGATTTTTTTTTGTCGTCCAGGAGCGACTTGAGAAACTGCAAGTGCTTCTGGTGTGAGAGAATTGGCCGTCTGCAAGGACGTTGCCCAGGGGACCAGATGATTTGATTTTTTTATCATCCTTGTACATGCTCTTTAGCATCTCAGTTAACGGAGACCCGGTGGCGCAGTGGGTTAAACCCCTGTGCCGGCAGGACTGAAGACCGACAGGTCGCAGGTTCGAATCCGGGGAGAGGCAGATGAGCTCCCTCTATCAGTTCCAGCTCCTCATGCGGGGACATGAGAGAAGCCTCCCACAAGGATGATAAAAACATCAAATCATCCGGGCGTCCCCTGGGCAACGTCCTTGCAGACGGCCAATTCTCTCACACCAGAAGCGACTTGCAGTTTCTCAAGTTGCTCCTTACACGACAAAAAAAATGTCCCTGTCTTCCCAGGAGATTTGCAACCTGCGATCTGTTGGTGATGAAGTATTTCATCTAGTCATGTCCAACTCTGTTGGGTGGTGCTCATCTCCCAGTGGCGCAGTG